CACGAAATCTGCACATGGAGGTTCACAAATTGCTGCACCTGCCACGAAATCTGATGAGTGGTGTATGATGAGTGGTGTATGATGAGTGGTGGTTTGATGAGTGGTGGTTTGATGAGTGGTGTATGATGAGTGGTGTATGATGAGTGGTGGTTGAACAGCTGTTGAATGTCCGTAACACGGAAGTTTTGCACACGAAACTTCCTTTGATAATACGTCAATTGTATCTAGTGTGAAGATGTCAGGTTGACTTACACTGCGTGCACTGTTTATAGGATCATTTTTTCTCAGGCTTAAAGCACCACCACTGCATCCTGTTTGGAAACTCGGCGTGCGCAGGGAGACCTCCACAACAGGTCATAGGGTTTACAAAATTCAGATCACTCGTTGCTCCGGTTCACTTTCTTGATTTAACCTCAAAAACGGGAGTCGTCCTCGGTTGAATTGTCATCTGGTGACTTTGCGAGACAACCATCACGCTTGCTCTGAGAATTCCTTTGTGGTTTCGAGCCCGAGCTGCTCCGTCCACGCCTTGTATTCCTCAGAAGCTCGTTGCAAATTGGGATCCTCTTGGTCCATTAATCGGCTCTCAACGAAGGAGTCGGTCAATTTCCTGGTTCTGGCGGCGCCAACTAAACATGATCGGAGAAGAACACAGCTTGCTTGAAACAAAAACAAAGGGTTTTCAATAAGGCGGGGGGCAAAGTTCCAAATCCCGTATACCTTCTTCATTTATCGGATCATGCTCAGTCCGCCATGTTGATACAACCCAATTGGCGACTCCTTTCTCATTCGCGGACTCTGGAGCTCACTCTCCCCATTCGACGGGTCTCGGATACGCAACGGGATCCAACTGTAGAGCTGCCTCGCTAATGGTCATGCGCCCTTTGCTGCCAGTAACCCATGGAACCGCATCCATGAGCTTCAAGATATCGATCATGTGCCTGTTTTGATCGAACGGATTACGAACATAATTACAACAAGGCGGTGTAAAAAGGTGCCTTGACATGCCTTGACAGTGCAAAGTACAGAACCTGATTTGTGTTCGCGTTGGGTCATATCGGAAAATGCGGAACGCCGTAGATCGGATCCCCTAGAGGAATGACTTGAAATATCGAGCGACATATATTGACATACAGTGTCTTCAAATCAGATGTAATAATAAGTTCACACAAATGCCCAGGAACTGTTCAAGCTTCTTGACCGTCTTGTGTTGGTAAGCTGCACGATGCAGTGTCTTTCGCAACTCCATCAAATTCCTCGAGTTGCGTGATTGCAAGAATGTCGCCATACGTCGTCCATAGTACTGCATGCAATTCTTATCTCAGCATGAGGAAATGTTGGCCTCCCCAAGACTAGCACCACCGTGCTCGAGTGAACAGGTTTGAAGTCCATATGGGTCCCTATATAAGCTATATATGTATACATCTAATATATATATATAATAAATAGAATATGTATAAAGAAAATTTAAAACACAATTTATATAAGAGGTCAGGAATCCGGATACCAAGTCTATGACAGAGTCTATGACTATGAGCTTCCAGCATAGAGATGCATGCCGAAGGACAGTCTGGTCCGAGGTAAAATGAAACTCCAAAATATTGGTCAATTGGGACAATTATTTCAAAGTAAGCATGCATCATCATTCTAAACCAGTCCCGTAAACTGAATGACTTTAGAGTTTACAACTTGCTGGCACTTTATGTCCAATGCGTAAAATGAGTGTTCTTTCGCCACTGTTTGGGCTGGATGGCACCAGAAGTTTTGTTGGGACTTATGCCCAAACCATATTCTGGTTTCGGTGGGACCAGGAAAATCATACGCCGGAACCAGGGTTTGTAAGCCATGAACTGGTGAAACCCACATTTGCGGGATTGAAGCTACTGATGGCTAGCGCATCAATTCAGATGGAGTCCTCTCCCTGACTCACCCTGACTCCCTGTCCCAGTTGGTCCAGGCTCTCTCGAATGTTATCTCTATCCTTCTCAGGTGGACTTATCGTCGACACACCATTCTCTCCGGGCTCATCGGGGATGACCCACGCGGACTTGATGTATCGATTGTGGTCCCACTGCCGCTGAATGCCAAGAAGAGCGCGTCCCTCCGGAAGTAGTCGAACTTGTCCACATCAATCCCCGTCCTCCAGTTGCTCACCTGGGTCGATCCATCTGCACAAGCAAGATGCCAACATGAGCAAGTTTAGTATGCTTTTGGGGCCCTGAGTCGGTGACAAATCGACTGACCCTGCATGATCCCACCAAAATAACATCCATGGTGCATGGAATTCTGATCCCAGGGCCCCAAAACCGGACACTCAGCGAAACAACGGGAATCTCAACACACAAAACTACTCAAACACCCATTTCGCTGGCTTACCATGGCCTACCTAGTCACACTCTTATGATCAAGTGGCAATCTCATAGAGCCAAGCCTTCTCAACTGATCGGCCCTTCATGATGGTTGACCACTTCTTTTTCAACGTCCCTTCTTTGAGGAATTCCTGGAGCTCCTTCTTTGGAGGATTGATGAGCTCCTCAATCAGCTCAAAGTCATTTCCCTCGTCATCAACACAAAGACCGGCTTCTTTTTGGAACCTCAGTCCGAACCAAGCAAAGATTCTTTCGAACAATTTTGCAATATTAGCCTTGGTCGACTGGTGGATGTACAAATATCTGAATCTAAATTCAACCAGTAATTTGACGACAAAAAACTTCCAGTCATGTCACACATGTCCTTATTGCTGTCAGTAATCACCGCAATTGCCGTTGTTTATATAGTCGGTAAATCCGACAACTGAAATATGACAGCCTTGGGTGTTCAAGTCACGAACCCGTCTCAACAACCCCGCAAGGCTTTCTTGAGGAAGTCTAAGAATCTGCGCTGTGCAGCTGATCTTTCAAGTCTTTCATGAGCTTCTTGACGATCACCAACGAAGCCTTCTCGTGATCCCATGTCTCGAACTCCCTGATCCGTTTCCTAGGGCACACCACCGAGCAGCGACAACATGAGGACAGGGTCTCTGGCCATATCAGATCAACTGAATCAACACATGACTCGCTCCTTGGGTCGCTCCTTGGAATGACTCGCTGTTTCAAGGCTTTGGAACTGAATCATGTGACATTGACAATTGGACTTCCTGCCAGGCCGAGGAACGGGTCTTTTGGTGTGAGTGCGTGTGTGCGAGGCACCCACACACCCTAGCATGGTGGGTTACTGTGGGACATGGGCGTTTGGGCATGGATCAGCTGCCCAACACTTCGACGTGCTACTGGACAAGCAGCAGCTTTTGAGCGTTTCAATCAACATCTACAAAGGTTCATTAGGCTCCCAATTTGGAGGCAAGTAGGAAGTTGTTCCTAGCCTCACCGGCTAACTAGCCTAAGCAAACCTGGCTTCCTTCACTGTTCGCTGCCAAGTTTCTCCACTGCGTCTGGGATCAGTACGCCATACTTTGTGCTGGCCTCCTTTCCTGAGGAATCAACAGTAACAATTATATAGAAGCTTTCCACATTGAGGACTCATCCAATCGAGGAACAATGTCTGTTGCTCTTGCTGGGGCAAGAGTCAAAAGAATGAAACTGCTGCAACATGCTGCAACCGTCAATCCTTTCGCGAATAAGAACGTCTCCAACCTCTTTAAGATGGCTCGGGCCCTTATCACCAAAGTACACCAAAGGATCATTGAACCCTGCCGCAGTGCACCCAAAGAAAGAGCATAAAATCGGCAAATATAGCTTGCTCGATCAGTTTGGGGAAAGGTATAAATATGTGTAGAAGTATATGTAGCATAAGAATGTGTGAACATGAGCTATCTGCTTTCTCATCTTTTCTTACATGAAAGAGCACCTGGCATCCTTTCACCCGGTTTCAGCCGGTTCCAAGTCCCTCCAGCCACTTCAGCTGTGTTTCGCTTCTCGCTCCCCAGCAGGTGCATGAAGTCTGGGCGGGACACTTACGGTTCACTGCGACGACGTGCCACTTCTTACTTCTGGCACATGCAGAGTGACGAATGATACGTTGGTTCTGTTCCAAGTGATCCCACAGTACCCACATAATATTTACAGTAATGCACTGGTGACTTTCACCAGCTTCCTCTTCTAACTTTGGCGGTACAAAAAATACATTTAGACCTGGTCACGAATTGCTTGCAAGGACCCAAGACGTTGCATTTGATCTGTCTATGTTTGTTGATGCGTTTGATAATACACGTATTTTAGACGAAGGGTGTCATGTCTGTCGACCTTCACATTTCTCAAAGTTCGAGCTCTAAGTTTTCAGGTATGAGAATTTGGGGGGTCGAGTCGACATCGAAGATTGCCCCACCAGCAAATGGCCAACAGTAGAAGTCGAAACCTATGGCCCATGGCCAGAAGGAATTGAGTCATCTGTGACAAATCTATACACATCCTTCCACACGGCCTCAGTGTGGGGTAAAGAAGAAACTCCCAACATCATAATCACATATATAACTTAACTTCCTGGGAATGTCGGTGTCTTGAAACATGCAGCCGACTCCTCTCTTTGCAAGCAAAGAGCGTTCAAACATGTGGGAGAAGCAAGGATGGCCCAGGTCATGGCAGAGTCCAGCTAAAGTGACGCAAATCTCGTCACGGTCTGTGACACGCAACTCTGGTTGCTGCTGGCGTATGTTTCGGACGAACTGGAACGCGAGGTAGGCCGTTCCGATGCTGTGGAAGAAACGATTGTGCGTAGCGCCTGAACAATGATCAGCATCGGCTTGGAGGTGGTATCTTCCTTTTCAAATCTTGGTGTGTATCTACCTTCAATCACAGACTAGGAGCAAAGGGCATCGCTACTAGTAACAAGGACGCTATTAGGGGCTCCTGGCCGTACTACTAGGAGCAAGGATGCTACTAGGAGCAAAGGGCATGACAAGACAATGAAAACTGGACCTTTGTCGATCGGTGTTTTTGAAGCGTCTTGGACCCTGCGGGCATGCCTGGAAAGACCTGTGCGCAAGCGCCCAGTTGCTTGATGTGTCGCATCCGTTGGAACTCTGGGGTGTCCACCACCAACTTGACCTGAAGAAGACTCTGTAGTCTGTCGCGGCAAGCCTCCCATGTGTTACATGTGAGGTTTTTCTGGCAAGAACGGATACATTTATCTGTGGAGCTGGATTGCGTACCTTGTTGGGCAAAAACATGTGTGATGCTATTTACCGTTCAATGCATGTCCAGTGAATGGCCTTAGATACCAATAGTCCAATGATAGTCCGTTGTTCCAAATGCACGTTCGTCATCCAAGCCGAATGGCCAAAGGATGCCAAAGGAACGCTCTGGCCAACACTCCAAGTGTTCTGTGAACAAAACGGAATGCAATGGCGAAATCTTTTTGGTGGTCAAAAAACCAAAGAAATTAAGGCTCAACAATATTGCAAAGAACATCAAGAACAGCTAATGGGTTCCTATTGCACTTCCGCAGCTCATTGATGCAGTCTAGTCTAGAAGTAGTTCAGCGAACTCGAGAAGTACTGTAGTCCTGTTTTCCACATTCATTGCTTGAGAGGCTCTCAATCTCTATCAATGAAGAATGTCCTTGTAAGGAAGAAACAAATAGAAGTCACATATGATTCTTGATTGAACAAGTCTTCAAGGAGAAGCATTTTGCTTCACACCTGAATCCATTGGATTGGAACATCTTAACCTTGGCAAGCCTGGTGGATCACCTGGTTCACCGACTTCGCCAAAGGACCACGGCTGGAGTCCAACAAGCGATTGAATCCCGGTCACATAATTCGGTAGAAACATCAAGCCATGGAGTGGGCAGTTCAAAGCAAACTTCTCCTGCAGCTGCGCAGACTGCTGCGCAGTAAGACTTTCACACAATAAAAGGATCATAAGTTCAAGACGGAAAGTGCTCAGTGGTCTCAACCCCTGTCTGCTTGTGCCCAATTGCCACACTCTCTCAGCTTCATTCGTGTTTAGGCAAAGGCTGAGCGCTTCAACTGATTTCCAAGCGCACGGGAAACCACATGTTCTGCTTCAAAGCTTGTGCATGTAACACCGACCGACAGCAGAAA